AAAAAATGCCACATACCTGACTCCTGTGGCTCTGACACCTGGGTTTCAAAGTCAGCTTTATTTGGAGGCGGCATCTCAATGGATGGCTCTTCCTGAGGAGATTCTAGACGAGATGCTGCACTCTTCCTGCCGCGTTTCACTGGTGGAGAGGCAATTGGCTGTTCCTCCACGTTCTTTTTCTTGCGACCTCTTGGCCTCCCTGCTGCCACGGGCTTCTGATGTCTAACCCGTCTAGATGGTGTACGGTCTGTAGGAGGCGTCTAACACATGAAAAATACTTAAGCCAGGAATTTCATACAACAGTTAGCAATCGATAATCCAATAATGACTGTCACACAAACCTTTACTAGACTGGACTTCTTGACGTTCTGATGACTATGTGGTGTGCGACTAAGATATTTTTATTAATATATATGTAAAAATCATACCAGTAAGTGTTTTTTTTTAACTTTTCGTCTGATGATGAAGTCAACCAACTGCTTGTTGGCGCGGTTGCGTGCAGTCTTGGACCGGTCGGGCAGCACTTTCTTGGAGAGGAGCTGATCTTGCTCTTCCACGACGATGTCCTCTGTGTTATTATCAGAGTTTTCACACTCCATACCCAGAATCTCCTGAATGGGGAAGGTCAGCAGTGATTTCCTCTCTGAGTATTTCCTCCGCACTGGACAACCTGTGACCATCAGATCAAAACAGCACTTCTGTTAAACCAGCACTGGTGAATGAGAATGACTTGATTTATAATGAGATTTTAAACTGGTTTACATTGAGTAGCGACTTTGATTGTAAATTTTCATAGTTATCATTAAATTTAACAATCAATTAACTGATTGTTAAAGTACCATAAAACATGGAGCACTACAAATACCATGTGCATGTAGATATAATGTTTTAGGTGTAAATACCAGGCACAAGCCAGACAATATTATTTTTATTTTTTAAGAAGACAAAAAATGCCACATACCTGACTCCTGTGGCTCTGACACCTGGGTTTCAAAGTCAGCTTTATTTGGAGGCGGCATCTCAATGGATGGCTCTTCCTGAGGAGATTCTAGACGAGATGCTGCACTCTTCCTGCCGCGTTTCACTGGTGGAGAGGCAATTGGCTGTTCCTCCACGTTCTTTTTCTTGCGACCTCTTGGCCTCCCTGCTGCCACGGGCTTCTGATGTCTAACCCGTCTAGATGGTGTACGGTCTGTAGGAGGCGTCTAACACATGAAAAATACTTAAGCCAGGAATTTCATACAACAGTTAGCAATCGATAATCCAATAATGACTGTCACACAAACCTTTACTAAACTGGACTTTTTGATGTTTTGATGTGGTGTACAACTATTCTTAGCTCTTTTTGGAGAGAATGGTTGGAGGTCTGAGGTCGGTGTGGAGCTGAAGAGAGGCCTGGACCGGGGTCTGCCCCGTTTCGGGGTGTGTGGTATGGAACTACAATCACTGTTAGTGTGGCAGGTGGAGCTCTTCTTGTGATGAAGAGGAGATAATGTAGTACATGTGTGAAGCGCTGTAGAAACATCAGAAGGGGTCTGATTGTTTGGAGTTTTTTTAGAGTGCCGATAACATGTCCCTTTTGTTTTTTGAGAGCTTAAGTGTTGTTCTGGGCAAGAATTGTGTTCAGAATTGTCCAGTCCATCTGAACAAACGTTTTTAGCAGCTACTTCTTTCTCATTGGGTTGAATTGGGTTTTTTTTCCTTCCCTTCTGAGATCTTTTTGATGTTTCTGATGGACATTTGGGGGCGGTCATTTTTTCAGGCACCATCGGCTCAAGTTCATGTGACTTTGAAGACACCAGTCCATTTGTACCCGTTAGTTGATGTGTTGACTTCTGTAAACAAGCTGATAAGTCAGGAAGAGCATTTTGGTTTGCTGCTCGAGGTTTCTCCTTCTTGGTTGTTCTCCGTACACGTGATTCTGCAGGATTCAGATCTTGAGACACTGTGGTTTCTTTACTATGCAAGATGGAAGCTTTGTCACCTGAAACAGGTTTGTGAAGTTCTAGAAGAACTTGCGAAATGGGGCGACAGGTCCTGTGAGGATTCCTTCGACGATGAGAAGAGAAGTTATCTGATGAACTCATTCCTGCAAACATAGATGTCTCAAGGCATCGGCATAAACAAGTTTGGTCTCATCATGCTGGGCTGCAAAGATAACCACAGTGGTGTCTATTACCCAGTTGTAACTTGTAACCAACTTGCCATAAGCTTTACAGGGGTAAAAAGTCACATAGCAACAAACAGCCTGACAATAAAGCTGATAAACTAAGAGCTTTTACTGTAAAGATATAAAACGCATGGCGTTAAATGCATTAGGCTATGCTATATATATCAAATCAACTATAAGACCGATCCAGCAACTGCATCACACACTATGGTAAACTTAACAATGATCATATAGAGAAATGTACCCTTTAAAGCCGCTGTTAGTTCCTGTAAATACTTGGGTTTGCTGAGATAACTGGCATAATCCAAGTGCTTTACCTTGAAATATTCGCAAACAATCAACCATATAAGAGCCGTAAGATGACGGATACAATGATATATACATTCAAAATGCAACATAAAGTAAGTAACGTTATAGTAAAGACATCAGACGTGTTAACTAGGAGCGCTGTGTATTAGCATTAGCAGCTCCATGGAATACTAACGTAAACACGGTCAGTCAGCATGTTACAGTACCCTCAATCTGCAGAAGCATGTTTAGCTGCTGCTGTTTTTTTAAAAAGTGTCAAATGAAATCAATTGTAACATAACATGTGTGCGCTCATATGAATGATTCGTACCTGATCACCTTCTCGTTGGATTTTCAGCTGTTTACGAAGCGCTCAGTCGTCATCAGTTGATCAGCGTTTCTGTTTCAATCAGGAAGCTGTTCGAGTTCTGCAGAAGAACCACGCACGAGCACCGTCTCGTCTGTCTGTCTTTCTGTTGAGTCAATTTAGCAATTTTATATTGAATTGAAATAGACTTAAATAGTCAGTAAATAATAATTATAAACCTACCTATTTTCAAAACATGAATACAAAACAAACAACTTAAAATAGAACTATAAATATTTATCTTATCTTTAAAGGGAAAAAAATCTGGTATGTCTAAAGAAAAGTAATTCATACATTTTTAAAATATCAGATTCAAATATGTTAATGTCCACCCAACTTTATTCACACATAACAACAACAACAACAACAACAAAAATAATAATATATCATTGTTTATTTCATTTACCATGGAAATATCTCAGAATGTCTTATTATGAAGAAGACCGTGTCAGTATATTTTATAGCACTTTCCATGTACTAATTGACTTTTTTTTTTATCAAAGTAAAATATTTTCATGTCATCCCAACTTTATTCACACATAATGATGATGGTGATGATTGTTATTATTATTGAATAATTATTGTTTTTAATAATAATAATACTTTATTTTTATTATTATGTCACATAACTGTATATGTCAGAATGTCTCAATATGAAGGAGATTATGTCACTTTCTATGATAATAGTCTACATATAGTCCAAAGAGGTTCGTCCTCTTTACATATTAACTTAGTAGCCTATAGTATAACATCTTCTGTAGGCAATAAGTCCTGCTTCAACACTGCGGTTACTGAAACCACGCCTTCTTTCTTTGCGTGAACATTTGGGCGGCATTATGCTAATATTTCCACATAGTGAGGTAGATATGTGGGGGCGTGTTAGAACGAGCCGTTTTAGGGGGGCGTGGCAGAGTCTTAACTTTGATAAAGAATATCTCTTTGGTTTTGAGACTTTAGTCTTTGCAACTTCAGGGATCTTATCTATGCACAATCAGCTTGTAACACTCCAAAGAGAAAGGAAAACTTGAAATCGCATCATATGACCCCTTTAATGTAGGGCCGTTTTCTGTTGTTATGGATGTCTCTGTTCTTCACACGTTAACCTTGCAGTTCTCTCTGTAAAATGGGATAAAGAAAAGAATGAAACAGCGCACTGTAAAATAAACGTCTTGTATGATATACTGTACGGTCGATTTATAATCACTCACACTTGCTTGACAAGGTAAGTTGTTATGGATTCACAGGCTTTCTGCTGACTCTCTGCTGCCACCTGCTGGCTCCTCGCGGCATCCTGTAACGCTGCGCATGCATCCAAGTGATGCGATTCACTGGTCAGATTCACCCACAGAATCTCAATAAGAGCTGCGCAAATCACAATAGGCTAATGAACACGTTTTCATACATTTATTATCGGTCATATTCTGAAGTAAACTGTAGGCGATTGAAGCTCATGCAATAATAAAAATGAATAAAATGTCATGATAAATTAATCAACATTTGGGAAACAAAAGGAAACTTTTACCTAATGAAAATGATTTTATACATATTTTATGTATATATTTATATATGAATTTATAGTATTATTTATTACAGAATCTGGATGGCACACTACATTATGCTCCATAAAAACAGATAATTATGCTCTCATGGAAAAACATGCAGATGACGTCTTTGGGTAGCCTACACCAACTTTATCATTTATGAAAAATATTTCCATTTTAGGCTCTCCTTCTTACCCTCCTGTTGAGCCAGCTCAGAAAAAAGTCTTGCATGTTCGCTCTGGTGCATGAATCTTTGATTTTCCAAAGCTGTTACATTTTTCTTTAGGATCATCTAAAATAGGGGGAAACATCCAATAAAATCAGTATTATCATAATAAAAATCAATTCAATTAATTATTTAGTCTCTATATCAGTTTTTTAATTATCCTTACACAATAGTACTGTGGTTAAACTCAGTACAAAGATTCAACGCACATTCATCTCTTTCTGATACTCACTTGCAGTCGCAGACTCTCAGTTAGAGATGCATTTGTTTTCCTCTGGCCCTCTAGAAGACTTCCCAGCTCTTCTTGCAGTTTGGTCTGGTTCTCCAAGCTCAGCTTCAGTGCAGATTTTAAGACCGCTTGCTCTTTTTCCTTCATCACTTTGGCTCCCTCCATCTTTTCAATTAAGGCCTGTTGTGCTTCTCTGCATTGTGTAACACCAGCCAAGGGGGGCCAGGTGGCCCAAACCACAATGACGATCAGCGAGACCATGGACCACAGCGCCAGGAGAGCCATAATCCAGTTACAGGTGTTCTGGGCTGAATTGGACCTGGCCATGCTGAGAAAGACACAAACTAAAGAGAACTTCTGCTGTCTGGTCTGACAGGGAGGGAAGTTTATGTGGATCAGTGTTGAACCAGCTGCATTTTGCTCGCTGAGGCTGGGCTGTTTCTCTGGATATGAGTGGAATCTACGTCAGCATCTACAATGTTATTTTAAGGACCTTATCAGTGCTCTGCGAAATAATACTGTTTTAGAAAACATCCCGGTTTTCTTTCATGTCCTCATGGCATTATGGTTCTTAAATCAGTAAAATGATCCATGATGCAATAATGAGATGAGTATGGTGGGATTAAGACTGACTAAAATGCAATAAAGGGCATAGTTTACCCAAAAATTAACATTCTCTCAGCATTTCCTCACTCTTTTTTTCTGTCAAAAGCACTGAAAAAAATTGGTGTAGGATTTCCTTCAAAACAACTGTCACTCAGAAGCTGCTAGTACATTTTACAAATAATTAAAAAGAAACAGCAAGTAACACATTGAATACTTTTGGACCCCACTGAGTTTCTTTATAAAAAAGTTGAAACATTATTTAAAATATAAAGCAAGTCATACATGTTTAAAAGGACATGATGGTGAAAAAATTACAGTATTTTTGGTTGAATTATCCCCTTAAAATGAACTTGATCACAGAATAAATTCATTTAAAATTGACCAAAGAAACTAAAAAAACTGGAAGAGCTAAACAGAGACATACACTGGTGACTTATGTCAACACATCTCATGGGAAGCTAACAGTTCTCAAAATATTCATAGATGTCCTGTGGTTTGAAATTTCAAAGTAAACAGTTGCATTTACAAGACCCCAAAAATCCAAATGTTTATCTGAATAGCAAAACACGATTATGTTACAATGGAGATGGAAAAATATTTTGTTTAATTAGAACTCTGGGACGTTCAACATCTCTGGACATGTTGAGAATTAAGATAAAAAGTTTGACAAATGCTCAGAGTTATAAAACACTATACTTCACCTCCCAGTGCATTCCTCAGCCCACACACACCAAATAAAGACACTGTAACTCTATTCTACTTCAATTCTTTTATTTGAATGGACTTTTCTAATGTATATATATATATATAAACTTGTCGTAAATAAAACAACATAATAACAGGTACAGTACTGTAAGCCAACAGATATGAATATTGCTATGACTTAACTACAACCATTTCCACATACGGATGCTCACTTGCACATGGAATGTCATACAAAAAAATTGAATTTTTGAAGTGTGTGTTTTGAACAAAAGAAAAGCGTTAAAGCAATAGTTCACCCAAATAATGAAAATTATTTGATTATTTACACCCTCATGTCGTTCCAAACCTCAAAACTTTATTTTTTTCTGTGGAACATGAATGTTTCAACTGTTTTGAACATACTATGACTACACACACACACATATATATATATATATATATACACCAAGACATTTTTAAAAAATATAACTTTTTGCTTTCCACAGAGGAAAATAAGTCACATGGATCTGGAATGGTATGAAGGTAAGTAAATGACAAAATTTTCATTTTTAGGTGAACTATCCCCTTAAATCGTCATATTCATAGATACAGAAGCAGCTTACTGAGTATTAGATATATGTACAGATAATTCAAGACAGCCTTTAGGACAATCATAAGTGTAGAAGTCATTTTCTTTGTCTCATATCATAAAATTAGAATTCGATTTGCATAGGAAAAGCGGACATGCAGAGCAATAAAAGCAACTGGCATCTTGAGATTATTAAATTCCTCATAGAGGACTGTGTAGTGCATTACTCACAATGTACATTAATAATATGCTTTGCTCTGAGTGCTGTAACAGAACTGTAAATAAACTCATTTTTATCTACTGATCCAGCATGTATATTTTTGAGGTGACAATTAAAAATACTAAATGCTTGCTTCAGCTGTAACAGACCGGCATCACATAAGGATACTGCAATGCACAAGCGAAACACGTACACACCCTCACTCAGCATTTATAGAAAATACCATTTTGCAATGCTTTTGTTCTAGGAGTAACATGAACTCTACAGGCTTACATGAAGCTTATTGCAAAGTTTAATACTCTATATCTGCCCTGCACATACCAAGCGAAGATATTAAGATAGTCATTGCCTTCAGAAAGCAAACAGAGCAGCTCAAGCCATGCTGGTGCTGCGAGAGTCATTTTCAGCTGAAATCGAGCGCACCAGCTCTTCCACCCAGCGCACCTCGGAGACCATCTGCTCAGCGAGCACTTCGTAGCGGTTCTCCAACCGGCCAAACTTGCGTTTGAGGGCATTGGCTGACAGCATGGCGGCGCGGGCCTCTTCCTGGCTCTGTCTGCGCAGGGCTTGTGCTCTCTGCAGCTCCTGTTTGATCTGATTCAGATCTGCAGCGATGCTTTCGTTCTCCTCCTTGTACCAGCTTTCTTTCTCCTCATAGATGGAAAGCAGAGCGGCCACGTCCTCAGCGCAGGAGCGCTGGTTCTTCTCCAGCTCTCGTAGGCCTTCCTCGGCCGCTGAGATCTCCTCCATGACCTGGGAGAAGCGCTCAAAGTTGATGTAGGTGTTGTTGGGAGGCATGCTGGAGTGGGATTTGATGGTATACTCCTTCAGACGGGTGGTCTTCAGACGCCTGCGCTCTGGCTTGCGCTCGCACTCCTCAGGCCGAACATTACGCCTCTTAATCACCTGTATGGGGGGCATGGGATGAGAACTAGTCAAGCACAGAACAAATGGTTACTAAACTCAAGAGGGAGGAAAAGAGAAACATTCGAACCTTGATCCAGGGATGCTGGAGACTGTCTTCGATTGTCATTCTCTTCCTGAATGTTAAAAGCAAATATTAAATTAAATATTAACAAACAGGAATGAAATTTGCTTCATATTAAACAAATGAGGCTTACATCAGAGTTATTTTAGTGTTATTTATAATTACTAATATTTTGAATTAGTTTTTATTTTTTATATTTTCAGTTTTCATTTACATTTTAATTTTAGTAAAGATTTTAGTAATTTTGTTATGCACTTTTGTCCAATTTTATTAGTTTTTTATATTTCCATTTAGCTTTATTTTTCAGTTTTAGTAATTTTAGTACAACAACTTAAAATGATTATTTTTTCATTTACATTTTTAATCTAATATTTACATTTTATTTTATATTTACTTTATTACATAACTTTAATAGCTTTAGTAACAACACTGGATTTTACTAACTTAGGATCCTTGACCAGCAGTCGGCGAATGAAGTCCTTGGCGAGCTCACTTGTGTTACTGAAGTACTCTTCATCAAAGTCATAGTTGACAGCTGAAATGTTGGTAAGTGTTTCTTGTTTGGTCTCGCCAAGAAACGGAGAAGCGCCACTCAAGCTACAGACAATGAATAATACATTAATATTAGTAAAGCAAAATAAAACAGCATCATCTGGGTGTGGAAAGCATGTAATCAATTGCAGCCAAACAAGTCATTTATGTGACATTACAACTTACAGTATATATGTGATAACTCCAATGCTCCTGCAGGAAAGAAAATCACAAGAAAATTAACTCTGAGCAAAACTTAACAACTGGTATACTGAATATAATTTATTAATAACCTAAAAAATCATTCATAGCTATGACTAACCACATATCTGCCTCCAGGCCAAGAGGCTCATAATTAACAATTTCCGGTGCTACAAAAGATAAAAGATATGGCAAAGATTAAGGACTCCTAATAAGGATAAACATTATTAAGTGTTAAAATAATCTCAAATTCTCACCAACAAACTCAGGAGTTCCAAAGATGTTTTTAAATTCATTTCCATACTTAATCTGATGAGCAATTCCAAAATCTATCAGCTTGATTCTGGGGTTCGGCACATTTTTATCCAGCAGCATTATGTTCTCAGGCTGAAAACAAAGATATAGATGAGTTAGTTTCTTTATCTGAACAGCTTTTGAGAAATGTAGCATTACATCACTTGCTCACCAATGGATCCTCTGCAGTGAATGGAGCTTTTTCACTGAAGGAAGCATTATTATGGATTATGTATATTAGCCGGAAGCAACAGTTTGAAGTTTAAAACACCTAATTGATGGATTTATTACAAACATGCAGCTTTTCACTTCCCAAGATGTTAACTGAGGAACTATGAACTACTGTGGATTTATGAGTGGTCTGAACTCTCATTCTGACAGCACACATTCACTATTCTTTCATAACAAATCATCCTAGTGCTCACCTTCAAGTCAAAGTGTGCTATGCGTTTCGAGTGGAGGTAGTGAACTCCATCCAGGATCTGCTTGAGGAACTGTGTGGCCTCCTCCTCAGTCAGTGACTCCTTCTCAGCCAGGAAATCAAACAGCTCCCCTCCAGACACCAGCTCCAGAATCAGGATCACATCAGTCTTGTTCTCAAAGATGTCATGGAGGGTGATGATGTTGCTGTGTTGGATCTCTCGAAGGATGTTCACCTCTCGCTCAATCTCCTTTCGGCTCACGCCTCGTCGGCTGGATGACAGGCGTCTCTTCTTGATAAACTTGGCGGCATATTCTGTTCCGGTGCTCTTTTCTTTACATTTACGCACAATGGCAAACTGCCCACTGGGAAACATGGTACAATGATACACAGAGAAAACAGAAATGAAAAAGAAGAAATCATGTCATTGCATATAGAATATAAGGATATGGAATGGGTATATATGTGAACTATATATGTAAACAGAAGTACATACATTCCACAAAACCAAACTCTAGTAACTTTATAAAAGAGATAGAGAGTAACTTATTTGGGTAAATGGTATAAATGCTACATAATGCAACCAAGGAAACTATAAAAAAAGTGGTTGAAGTATTCCCCTGATGGCTCCTCTCTGGCACATCTGTAGTCTCATTTGCACTACAGCTGTTCTCAGGCTCAGAGAGCGAGCATATGCATTGTAAAGCAGTGATGTAATGCTGCAACAGCACAGCACTGAATCCTCCACGTCCATATATAGAAAAAAGGCCAGGCTTGATTCAGTGTTTGCAGACTATTAAGTCACTCTGCTGTGGACTTTTAAATTGCAGGACTCTCATAATGTTTGTTGTTACACCGCACTGATAAGCACAAACACTATATCGCCTTGGCAACTCTAGGCCAAACACTATGATGTATTCACTTACCTTTTATTAAAGTGCTTTTGTAATTATACAATTATACTACTTAATCAAACATTAAGATCTTAGGCTACTTCAAATCTTAATCTTTGTTTTATTCACTATGTGTGAGATCACTTTAAATCAGGTTAAACTAGGTTGCACAGAGTTTTAAGGAGGGAAATGACATCTCTTACCTTCCTAACTCCTCTTCCATTTCATAGTACAGCTCCACATCTTCCTGCCTGAAGCCAGCCATGATTTGCGGTCTTCAAATGAATCAATCTGTTAGAAAATGACCAGAAACAGTGCCTAGTTTAGTTTCACGGTTTTGACTTTGTCTTCAGTCCACTAAAGACTTTGACATTTTGTTGTCAATCACTACAAATGGTTCCTAACTGTTCTTAAGTGTGCACATGTTTTGGTGTTTACACTTGATCTCAGGGGAAGTTGGATTTTAAACTGACATGGGAATGAAAAGTTCCAGAATGTGGACATCCTACTTACGTCATTACCTACAGACATAAACCATGGTTGGCAGATTTTTTGTAACCTTCTTTTCTTTCTTTATCATAGACCTTTAACAGCGAATATTTTAACACTGCAGTGAAGTGCAATATAAACTCACACACACACACACACACACACACACACACACACACACACACACACACACACACAAATTACATCTCAAAATCTATGCTGGAAGTCAAGTTTTGAACATTAATATGTAAAGATAACTACAACAATCATTTATATTAGCTTAGAATTACAGTTTCACGGCCAAAAATAAATTGAAATGTGGCCAATAAGAGAAATATAATACGAACAAGTATATTACGATAATCCACAAAATATCTACCAAAGCACTATTTCACCAAAGCACTATTTCCAAGTAGCCATCTGGCTAACTTGTAAAAGCAACAACCAGCGAAGACCGGTGTGGCCAGCCTCGTACGTTGACACACAAAACACATTACGGAATAAATATATACGATTTTCTCTCACGTGTTATTAATAATGTTATCTATAACAATGCTATCTCGAATAAGACATCGCTGAGAGTTTGTTACATACCTTAACGTCGCCGCATTCCTCAGTATTTTCCGGTTGCTGCGCTCTGAGAGGCGTGGCTTTTTCAGTGACATCATTGAGACTCCGCCGCAGGACGACGTCAGCTTGCGTGAAGCTGTTATTAAGAGTCTGCCAGGTGTTAGCACACTGATCTGAGTTAAAAACTACTTGTATGGGCTTGTTTTGCACTGTTCATTTCTCGGTGTTACCACAACAGACTAATAACACACATACAAAGGTGTAAATGAGTGAAAGAATGACTTTGCCTGGAAAATCTATAATAAAGAAACAAAAATAAATAAATACTTTTTGTTATGAATCGTGTTTCACAAGAGAGACATCTAAAGCGCACAGTGGTAGGGACCAATTTTAATTTCTCTGGCAGTGTCAAATCCTCATTATTTATTGAGCACGTGTATGAAGTGAACTTCAGATATGTGTGCTTCACATAATTGTGCTTGCTGTTCTGTGCACAGTACATATGTATGTGAAATGTGAGTCTGTAATTGTGTCAATTATTCAAGACATAATCATATAAAGAATTTCCAGCTCACATTTCAGATGTTTATCATACTGTGTAAAGAAACAATAGCTGCAACATCTCTTTGTTTTTTTGAAAAACCACAACACCTTTTTGACTTCATGGAAAATGCTCTGCAAAGTCAAGCAAGTTCTGGACGTTAAAGACACATTAAATCTGCAGTTAGGCTAAAACACACCCAAAATACATTATGTTAACCATAATTTGTCTGGGACATCTCTGACATTAACTGTATGTATGTAGGATTTGTGAGTATTTATGAGACCAGCATAGGTATTAATTTGTGCCTATTCACTGGATGTTTATAGAAAAGGTCTTAAAGGGATATTTCACCAAGAAATGAACATTCTGTCATCATTTACTTATCCTCAAGTTGTTCCAAACCTGTATGAGTTTATTTCTTCTGCTGAGTACAAAATATGATATTTTGAAGAATGCTGGCAACCAAACAGTTGACTGCACCCATTGACTTCCATAGCATTTTTTTCTCTACTATGGAAATCAATGGCTCCAACTGTATTCCAACTGAAATACCATTTGGGAAAATGCATTTGGTCTGACAAAATTACAAATCATATCCAAATATTATATATCAATAAATATATCTAATAATATTTAATTCTATCCATTCTAATATTTAATTCTTTAACTCTTGACACTTGGCAACCTATGAAAAGTGGAAGACAGACAGACAGTCAATAATATGTGGCCAGTGTTATTTTTAAAGCCATCTTCTGTCATGTGACAATATGCTACTGTACAGATAATGTCTGTTAGTGGAGAAAGAAAATCTACTTCTGAAAAATCCAATCACTTGATTCTTTTGTAAAAAATTGTAATTTATGTATTTATATGTTCTCTTCAAAATAACATGAGAAAAAACATTGAAATATTATAATATGATAAAATATGGTAATGTAAGCATAGAGATCATTAAAATAAAAGAAAACAACAAAAACATAGAACAAAAACAAATGAAAGGATGCTGTGAAGTAGTTAGAAAAACATCAATCATCAAAGGGAAAAACAACAAAAAATAAATAAATATATATAAAAATAAATACCAAAATAAATGCATTAGGCCTAATAGTTTTGCAAAACTGGCCGTAAAATATGATGTCACTAAAGAAATTACAAATTTGGACGTTAAGAAGTGGAGGCGTGACTAAAACTTGATTGATTACAGTGAAAGCCAACAGGCCAAGAGTGGACGTTCGGAAGCGGACGAAGTTAGCCAATCGGCAACGTACTGCAAAATGTGGGCGGGATATGCTTAAACAGCTGATAGCTGAGTCGGAGGAAGGCAGAGTGCGGATGTGGGTGGGTGGGGTCGGATGTGGGAGGGGGGTCCTCACTGCAGAACACAAGATCCAGGGGGCGAGGTTGTATCCAGATCCAACTCCTCCCACCTTACATATACCTAAACGCAGAACCATAGAGAGAGAGAGAGTTGTGACAACTCCGTTCACTCCAATGGACCAGTTTTTTACAGCAATGGCGGATCGTGGAGCCGCTCAATAGTTCCCGGAAGTTAGCGCTCATACTATCAGCGTCGTAGAGATGCAGCAGAAGAGACCACTGTGATGAACTTTTAAAAGGTAAGACATTTATAGAACAAAATAATATGTAATCAGCACAGCTAATCAAATTACCCTGTGCATTAAAACAGATGATTATTAGATTATTCCTCACTTAATTAGTAGATTTACGGGATGTTGTTCATTCTCTTCATGCAGTTTCATCCATCGTTGTGTAATTTAAAAGTGATTTTGCTGGTGGGGAGTTATTAAATAGACTTAGATATATTGCAAAGGATGCAGATGGACCAAAGTGAGAATGAAAAGTTTAATGTAGGTGAGCAGTTTTCATTTCAGAATCATGCTAGGCTAAATGTCCAAAAATGGATTATATACCACTACTATATTATAGAAGTAATTACAGTAAACCTGTACATTATTACTGTATTTTATACTTAAACGTCTTAGCTACTAAAGAAGCACTGTGTTGAAGGAAGCACTGCGATGTGATGGAGCATCACTTAACCATTTCTCCTGTGTTTTTCTTCCTTCGCTATCTTGCTTTCAGAACAAGAACCACCTGAAGACTCCCTGTAAAGAGACATCACCCTCACAATGAGTCTCTTCACTGGTTTTGGCAAGTCTTTCCCTGCTCTTTGTGTCTTTGTGAAAAAGTGCCAGTTCCCTAATATGATTACATCACATTTTGTTGGTGTAATCTATAGATTGCTCCTGCTGACTATATTCAGCCTCTATATTCAGACTTCAAATGACCCAACACCTGTGAAGAAATGACGCCAACCCTTCAGAGGACTTCAGATGAAGCGGACTCTGAATAAACATACAAAACTGCTACATTTTCCTTGCATTGTAATCAACATGATAACATCATGTAACCATTGCTTTAATTTGTTCATTGTTTCTGTATATATTTAACTGTTTCTGAATACATGACGTTACTTAACTGCATGATTTCTACAGCCTAATTTTAGAACATTTCTACCATTACTTTGGCACAGTTACACCTGTTAACAGAACTCTTATTCGTAATGTAGAAACATTCATTTTCTGTAGAGCTGCTTTGAAACAATGTGTATATTAAAAAGTGCTATACAAATAAACGTGAATTGAACAAAACTTGATGCATCATTTTTTTCCTCCTCTCCAGATCAGTAGGGAAACCATACATTCACACTCCTTTCTGTGAGTGACTGGAGCACTCCCATGCAGCACAGCAAACTATAGTGGAGACTGTTCAAGGACAACATGCTTTATAGTTTATTATAAATGTATAAATAAGTGCATAACAAAAGTCAACATACATAAAATATATGATTAAATGTGTACAAATGTTTTAAGTTGTTTTAAACTGGAATATACTTCAAATATATTTTTATATATTAAAAAATGAGGGGGTGCACAAGAATCAAAAACATTGAACAAGATTAGTTTTCACTTAATAAAATATCTTTGGTATTATTACTATATTTGGAATGAATTTTCTAAGACAACAAACTTAACAGTAACCATGAGAAAATATCTTCATTTATTTGGAATGAATTTTCTAAGACAACAAACTTAACAGTAACCATGAGATTAGTAAAACGACAATGAACAGGTATATTTGTGATTGAACTTGACTAACAAGCAAGTTGTAAGAACAAACACACACACGCATATAATTACATTTATATAGAGAGGCTAAAGTTACCTTGGCAGAAGACCACGATGTCGTTTAAATAGCAAACACGGACTTTTATCACGGTAACTTCAGCCTAAAATATGTTAACAAGGCAGGTAAGGATAGCTGACCACATGAATCCTCAAATATTAGCGGATTTTATCTTTTAAAAACAACACTGATATAACTACATATATATACTACGTATACATGTAAACATTCTTTTATAAATCATGTAAATAAATTATTTTATCGTCTACTAATTACCAAAAATCACAGTTCTGTCTCTCCAACTCAATGTATTTCAATTGCCCGCTATGAGCTTCCTGGAACTATTTGAGGTCTTCGTGAATCACGTGACGATCGAGCGTTTAGGAGTTCCGTTGACGCAACTCTCTCTTTCCATGGCTCTGCCTAAACCTACCCGTCTCCACCCCCTGATCCCTAAACCTACCCGTTTCCCCCCCCTGATCCCTAACCCCCCCCCCTGATCCCTAAACCTACCCGTTTCCCCCCCCTGATCCCTAACCCCCCCCCCTGATCCCTAAACCTACCCGTTTCCCCCCCCTGATCCCTAACCCCCCCCCCTGATCCCTAAACCTACCCGTTTCCCCCCCCTGATCCCTAACCCCCCCCCCTGATCCCTAAACCTACCCGTTTCCCCCCCCTGATCCCTAACCCCCCCCCCTGATCCCTAAACCTACCCGTTTCCCCCCCCTGATCCCTAACCCCCCCCCCTGATCCCTAAACCTACCCGTTTCCCCCCCCTGATCCCTAACCCCCCCCCCTGATCCCTAAACCTACCCGTTTCCCCCCCCTGATCCCTAACCCCCCCCCCTGATCCCTAAACCTACCCGTTTCCCCCCCCTGATCCCTAACCCCCCCCCCTGATCCCTAAACCTACCCGTTTCCCCCCCCTGATCCCTAACCCCCCCCCCTGATCCCTAAACCTACCCGTTTCCCCCCCCTGATCCCTAACCCCCCCCCCTGATCCCTAAACCTACCCGTTTCCCCCCCCTGATCCCTAAACCCACCCATCTCCATCCCCTAGATGTGGATCTTACCCCGCCCCCTGGATCTTTGTTCTGCAGTGAGGGACTACTGGATGGAGGAGACGACGACAATCAGGCATCATGCGATTTTTGTCAAGTCTCCTTTGGGCAGCTCTTTTGATCGAACAGGTAAGACGTAAGAAAACACTAAAGAATCCGTATGCTTTTTGGTGCGTTTCTCAACAGGTCTGTCCCCAGTTAGTTAGATTTTTCCCGATGAGGACTAGCTACATGCTATGTAAGCTTAGCTTGCGGTGGACTTCAGTAGGATGTGCTCGTGTATGTTTTGGGGCCGCGCGGCCGAGTTGCTCATGACACAACACTGATCGAACGAGCGACAAACTCATTTTCGCTGGATCACCATTAACGATAAGCCTTTATTTTAATGTGGTTATTTATTTTGCATGCAATGATACTGTACACCGAAAATGTTAAAACGTAAAATTTTATCGGAAAAATAATGTAAAAACACTGTCGTTTGAAAACGGTGAGTTGCCTTACTATATACAGTACCTTACCAAAATATATTTATGTTTAGTAAGAAGTATGAATTTCCTGAAAAAGTAATAGTGGAAGTAAGGCAATACATACAAATTATAACAATATTTTACAGTTAAAATGCTGACTTTGTTGGGATTCCCTGTGTGAACAACCACATTTGTTTAGATTTTAAGAATGTAGTGTATTCTTTTTTTTTCTGCTACCAGTTATGCACATTGGAGTATTATGTTGCATTTTAGTTTATTTGGTTCATGTTTATAGAATTATTTTAGTGTCATATATTAACCTGATTATGTGTTGTGTTTGTGTGGGTGACAGTCAGCTCTGTCTTTATGTAATTATTGTCCACAGTTGCTGGAAAGACCGATTATGATGATCTGTAAGTCATCATATGGCTTTTCATCGTACTTTAATGGCCATTTCATTGTACTTTTGTTTTGTTATTATCAGATATATTTACTTAGATGTTATAAGAACATGTCAACACACACACATATGCATTCATGTAATTAATGCTTATAACATCATATAAATAATTAAACTCTACTTAAAATATTAAATTATTCATTTAATGAACAGTGTAATATATTAATAATCTCAGTAACACTAAAGCAAAAACAACACAATTTCTAAACATGTGGTCCTGCATGTTGTTGAACTAAAAACAGTTAGTAAATGAAAGTCAAACATTTGCAGACATTAGAACTTTATGCAAGTTCATGTCACCTATTTACTACAGATGTATACACGCACTTCTCTCCTTTTGCCTAGGTTCCCCTCTTTGCACAGCATTCTTATGCACAAACCTGTTAACCTATGCAGTATCTATTCTGATTCACAGGTTTTAGGTGAATATGGCATGGCACATTTCAGCGACGGGGGCAACAGTAAAGGCAAAGATTACTGCATATTCTTCAACTCTCAGTGGGCTCGACTACCTCAGGACCTCAGTAAAGCAGTTAGTAGCAATTTACATTTTATACACACACACACACACACACAAATTGAAAACCCCAAATCTTTTACTGTTGGCTTTCAAATCAATTGTAGCCTTTCCAACAAAACCCCTGCTGTACATGAAACTGCAGTTACAATTTGGATGCAATTTAGTATCACAGTGCTGCCACTCATTCACCCTTTATTGTTTTCCTCAGGCACGGCTGCAGACGTATGATCTCACCATCTCTGTGCTGTGCTCCCCCACTGATGTACCTGAGGGTGGCTTCCCAAACAGCATCCCAATGGTGATGAGAGGAAATTGCACTTTCTATGAGAAAGTCAGATTGGCCCAGATCAATGGTGCCAAGGGACTTCTGATTGTCAGCAAAGATAGACTGGTAACACATCATAACACCATTAATGGCGCCATGAACATTCGTCGAAACATTTTTACATGAGTCACACATAAATGAACTTGTTTGAAATGATTTACAGACTCCACCCTCAGGCAACAAGTCCCAGTATGAGGAGATAGGCATCCCAGTGGCCTTGCTAAGCTATAAAGACATGCTGGACATCAGTAAGGTAAGTTCAGAATCACTTAAACACATAGCATTTTGTAATCACAAAGGCAACAACAACAAAAAGTGTGTCTCTAGACGTTTGGGGAGAAAAGGCAGGTGGCCATGTACGCACCCAAAGAACCAGTGGTGGACTACAACATGGTGCTCATCTTCCTGATGGCGGTGGGCACGGTGGCTGTCGGAGGATACTGGGCTGGCAGCAGGGACATTAAAAAGTAAGAATTGTGCCCTTGTAACAGTTTGAACCCTTGAGGCACAGGTTGCAAGATAAATTATTGATAAAGCTGACAGCCTGCAGAATTTATTTAACTAAACTCACATCTGTGTGCCTTTAGACGTTACATGAAGCACAAGAGGGACGACAGTGCTGAGAAACAAGACGAGGAGACCGTTGACGTCACCCCCATCATGATTTGTGTGTTTGTGGTCATGTGTTGCTCTATGCTGGTGCTCTTATATTTCTTCTATGATCAATTGGGTAAATAAATGATTCGGTTGTTATTGCCTTTTAATAAACTGTTAGCATTTTGTTTGATCTTGATGATTTAATTGATTCCTCACCCTTTCTCTCAGTGTATATGACTATCGCGACGTTCTGTCTGGCATCTGCCGTTGGTCTGTACAGCTGTCTTTGGCCTTTTGTCCGAAGAATACCGTTTGGGAAATGCAGGTTAGAGATGTGCATGAGAAAGACTAGATAAGATTCTTTTTGGTTTTGTATTGAAGGAAATGCTTTGTGTTGACAGGATACCTGAGAATAACCTGCCATACTGCCACAAGCGGCCACAGGTGCGCATGCTGATCCTTTCAGCCTTCTGTATAGGAGTCAGTGTCACTTGGGGAGTTTTCCGCAACGAAGACCAGTAAGAATAGTAAAAAAAAAAAAAAAGCACTTTAGGTTTTGACACTTTCAGCACTATTACAGTGTCTGATCAAATCTCATGTTTCCTAGGTGGGCGTGGATACTTCAGGATGCGTTAGGCATCGTGTTCTGTCTCTACATGCTGAAAACAATCAGGCTGCCCACTTTCAAGGTGAGTTTAAAATGTCGATGGATGCTGCCGATTGCCAGTGTAACATCTTTAGGATGTGGAGATGATACATTTCTTCTCGTTGTAGGCCTGCACTCTGCTGTTGGTCGTGCTGTTCGTGTATGACGTGTTTTTTGTTTTCATAACACCACTCTTAACTGAGGTATGAGATTTTTAAACTAAAACTGATGGAAGGATAAAATTGAATTTGATATTATTTTGCATATTTTTGTGTGTTATGTGCAGAGTGGGGAAAGTATCATGGTCGAGGTAGCAGCTGGTCCATCGGATTCCTCTACTCATGAGAAGGTAGGAAGGTGTTTTTTTGAATTGGCATACATTTAAATACATATCTGTAATATTTTTTTGGTGTCAAATTTGGCTCCTCTTTCTTCATTAGCTTCCCATGGTGCTGAAAGTGCCCAGGTTGAATTCATCTCCTCTGGTCCTGTGTGACCGGCCCTTTTCTCTCCTGGGCTTTGGGGATATCTTGGTACCAGGTAATGTCACTACTGTTGTTGCATCAGCTGCACGATAAACAGATTTCCAGGGTTCATGGAAAGAAAACAGTGATGCACCAAAATATTTTTTTTTTGACCAAAACCAAAATTAGTGTTCATTTAGCCAAAAATATTTTTTTTGGTCACGGTAAAATGCATCCACACTGCTGACATTTTACCTGTTGTAGCTTTTCCATGCTGTGTGCATGAAAAAGATGATAATGCTATTTCATGTTTCGGAAAGTCTTTTTCGAGTATGGCCCTGTATGACGTCATAAAGGGTGGAATCCCTTGTATGGGCACTTCTCCCGGAAGAGCACGCGTACACGTCAACCAGAGCGAGAGCAAGTGCAGCCCATCAACGCGCTGCACAGGACTTGCTCGAGAAGGATTTGTCATTTTGTTTTTAGACCTTGCTCAGCTTCTCAAAGAACCCAGTGTTAAGGGAACAGTGGATGCAGTTTGTTTCTCTGGGGCAGCAATGGAGTTGTGCAAATGTGTTTGTTTGTTCCCGGCATTTCGGTGACAAATGTTTTATAAACAAATTAAATAATTTAAGTCCATAATGTTTTTGTTCCTGTTTTATTTATGTCGATGTCACAGCTTGCAGACGATCGCTGTGCAAAAGCTTTGCGTGCTTGTGACTCTTTAGCTCCGCCCACAGCACGCCTCCAGGAGCTCGACTGTTTTCGGAGAGAAACGTAAAGCTGTATCTGTCTTTTATAAATCTGATAAAACTAAAGACTCTTCGGAGATATGAAGGATGCAATACTACTCTATAGGTCTGGGGTGCCCAACCCTGCTCCTGGCGATCGACTGTCCTGCAAAGTTCAGCTCCAACCCTAATCAAACACACCTGATGCAACTAATTAGGGTCTTCAGGATCATTTAAAAATTAAAGGCAGGTGTCTTTGATTAGAGTTAGAGCTAAACTTTGCAGGACAGTCGATCGCCAGGAGCAGGGTTGGGCACACCTGCTATAGGTACTCAAGATTACCATGAGATTGGCAGAAACTGTTATGTCCCCTTTAAATGTCACTGTTTTGGTTAATGGTTTTGGCCATTAATATAATTTAATTTAATTGCATTATTATTATTTTTATATTTTAGCCGAATATTTTTGGTTGCCGAAATTTTTATATTTTTATCTTTGAAATAAAATGAAAATATTAGGCAAGCTTAGTTGTCTGGCTCTGATTATCAACCCTGATATAAAGATGTTATTGATGATATATAGACAAAAGAAATCAATGCTTGTATCTGATTTCTTTGAATTCAGACTTTGCCATCCTTCTGTTTTTTCTCTTTCTTTCTTTTAAGTCATCTTGCACTTTTTAATAATGACATTTTGTTTCTTCAGGTCTGCTGGTAGCATATTGTCACAGATTTGACATTCTCATGCAGACTTCTCGAATATACTTTCTGGCCTGCACTATTGGTAAGACACTGACTACCTTTTAAATTCAGATATGTTGTATGTGGTAATACACTGGCTGACAAACTTTATAGCAGTGTTTTTATTTTCAAGCTTTTATTTAGTTATTTGGTATCTTTAACGCATGTACAGTATATTGTGCCTCTCATTTAAAGACTCTGATCTGTTTGTTTAGGCTACGGCATTGGTCTTCTCATCACATTTGTGGCTCTGGCGCTGATGCAGATGGGTCAGCCTGCCCTCTTATACCTGGTGCCTTGCACGCTCCTCACCAGCCTTGCGGTGGCACTGTGGCGTAAAGAACTGCCTTTGTTCTGGACAGGAAGTGGATTTGTGGTGAATACCAGTTTGATATGAGTGCCTTCTTCAGTCGGAAAAGTTCTAGGGTTATGTACGGTTACTAGACTTACAGTTGAGTAAATTCACCCACGTGTTTTTGTTCCGCTCTTAATTTGCTCTCATTTTTACTGTGGGCGTTTTCTTTAAAAGAGGGGTTCGGTGTCAACCTTGGGAAGAAAACGGTCGTTTCCAATATGTCCTTAACACAAAATCTACACCCTTTGATTTCACAGACATTTGTTGAAAATGTTTAGAAACATATACAGCATAGATCTCTGAGATCCTGAATGGAAACTCCTGTAGTAAAAGGAGATTTTACAGAGATTTTGAAGACTTTAGACAAATGCCTGTTTGACTGAACTTATTATATCTAATTGTATTTCTTTAAACCACAGTATGAGGAATTGCTGTGCTACGGACTGATATACACGAGTTAAAACCACCGTTTGATAAACACCAGATCTCTCCTGTACTGTAGGTCTGGTAAGAGATCTGTGTGTGCCAGAAGAGGGCTCATGTTTCATTTCCTCAGCTCTTTAGCTAACAGTGTTCTAGCTTTTAATCTAATAATCGGCCTGGAGATTTGTTGGTCTTGAGTTAATCTGTGGTGGTTTCATGTACAAGAAGATCCGTGTTATCTCCTCTGATTTTTTGCTTCTTCACTAAGTTACAGATCAGAAGCCGTTTTTTAAGTGATTCAAACATTTTTCTTTTGCTTTAAATTGCAATTGCATTGGTATTACTGTCTGTATTTTTATATACACTGCCATTCAAAAGGGGGCGTTTTTAATAATTTTGGAAGAAGTCATCAAGTCTGCATTAATTTGATCAAAAGTACAATTTAAAATAATTGTTTCCTATTTGAATATATTGTGAAAATTTAATTTATTCCTGTGATGAATTTTCAGCAGCCATTACTCCAGTCTTCAGTGTCACGTGGTTCTTCGGGAATATGCTAATGCGATGCTCAAGAAAGATATTTTTTTTGTAAATTATCAGTGTTGAACATGTTGAAATGCTGCTCAATGTTTTTCGGTTTTTCAAGTTTTGAATGGTAGTGTGTATATATTAAAGGGGTCATATGATGCTGCTAAAAACAGAACAGTTCTTTATAGATCAGTCCTGTCTTACTGCCGCAAATCTATTTTGTGTTCCTTGAATTAATTTATTAAGAACGACTGGAGACGGATTGGAGATGCTTTTATTTTGCGTTATAAGTCTTCTGCATGCCATATTTTTTCAACGGTTTTCAAAAAGTGTTGGGGGGTAGGGGGGTCCCCTCGGTAAAAAATCGCTTTCCGTTGAGTTCCCTCTCTCTCGTCGGGCCTTCGGAATCGTCCTAACCTCTCTGCGGTACGATTCGTACCATACGAACACCTTGTTAGCGACGAAATATTATTAAAAATGTCTGGAACATTTGAGTATTTTATATGGTTGCATTGCAAAAAAATAAACTGCATTATAAAATTCCACGTTTTTCATGATCCACAAGACTAATTTTCAATTCTGGGCGAACTAACCCTTTAAGTTGCACGGGAACCCCACATATCTACGTCACGATGTGGGAAGATTTGCATAATGCCGCCCAAATGTTCACGCAAAGAAGGAAAGCATAACTTTTATTCTGTGAATGCGCTGAGTGATTCGTTGTGAAAGCGAAACTACTTTGTTTGGTCTTCCAAAAGAGGACGATATCTGCTTTGTCATGCCTGGAGCTGATCTGTGCTGGTCGCTGAGGAAATACTACAACTTCACGCTGTGGATCGCCGGATCAGCTTTCACCGTGGACGAAGCGGAGTCCAGCCCGGGGTCATCCCACGCTCCTTCGTCGAATCCGCCGCCTCTGCTCGCTCTAGCCCTCCGCCTCTGCTCACTGTAGGCCGCCGTGGTGTTTTTTGTTTTTTTCACATTGTTGTAGCGCTTTGGGTGTGAGAAAAGCGCATTATAAATAAAATGTATTATTATTATTATTATTATACAATTTCTATTTTAAATAAATGCTTCTGAGCTTTCTATTCCAAGAAACCTGAAAAAAGATAAGATTTTAAGACATTAAAACTTCAAACACTGATGTTTCATGTAATAAATGTTATTATAATAATATTTCAGATTAGAATATTTTGATCAAATAAATGTGGTGAACATAAGAGACTTTTAAACGTTGACTGCTTATAAAACACACCGTTCCACGGCCTTCCAGATTTGGTCTCTCCAGGTTTTGCGCTCCTCTCCGGAGGAGGTGTGAAACTCATACATCTCTGGAGTGTCTGAGGAGGCTGAGATCAGAAACAAGGCCTTCTCGTCATGAGCCACATCACGCACAATGAGCTTCAGCAGTGAGATCACCGCAGGCTTACCGTCCTACAGGAGCACATTAGACAGCTGACATTTAATGATAATGACAACTGTAAACTAGACATAAACGTCAAGCCAAATTATTACATTCTGCTCACCAGAGAGGCAAAGGTAAGTCGCTGATCTTTCTCCAGTAACAGCAGCAAAACATCTGACAACAGCAAGACAAGGACATCTAAAGGCATATGAGAGAAAATACTAATGTCAGTTAGTTATCAGATGAGCAAAGCAAAATTACAGATAATTACAGGAAAAACTAAGCAAAATGGCCTACAGCATCAGAACCCGAGTTGATGGGAAATAACAAGAGATGAAAATGCTAATTAAACTATAATGTTTTAATGAATTTCTATTAAAGGTGCTGTATGTAGGATTGACACCGAGTGGTTGAACTAGGTATTGCAGTTCAAATTCAAAATATTGGGAGAGGGTTTTTTCACCCGGCCCCTCCTCCTCAGACTTGATGCACACGCAGGTTGCTAGATTGACTACACCAGGGCTGTCCAAACTCGGTCCTGGAGGGCCGGTGTCCTGCAAAGTTTAGCTCCAACCCTAATTAAACACACCTGAACCAGCTAATCAAGCTCTTACTAGGCATAGAAACTTCCAGTCAGGTGTGTTGAGGCAAGTTGGAGCTAAACTCTGCAGGACACCGGCCTTCCAGGACCGAGTTTGGACAGCCCTGGACTACACCAACAGGAATGAGCACACTTGACGATAAATGAAATGAAATACGTTGTGTTTTCCGCCAACTGGCAACCCGGGGTGCCGAAATACAATTGGGTAAACTGGCAGTGGGCAGGTTTCACAAACCAAAACAGAGACCGACATTCCGGCCCGGAACGCACATTTTCAAAGGAGAATAACTGACTGTAGCATTGTTTTTCAGATAAACAAGTATGTTAACTTAGCATGTTTCTTAAATATCTGCAAACATATGGTATTTTTATGCTTTAGTAGAGTCAAAAACTAACATACAGCACCTTTAATAAGTCCAGTGATAATGGATCTGTTATTGGTAGAGTGATCACCTTTGCTTTTGTTAGAAGTTAGCCTCCAGTTGAGAACGCCCTCATGAAGCAGCCTCCTCTCACCCTGCAGCATGTCCTCTCTGCGGAACACTCTTCCGTGGGTCATCTTGACCTGGGACTTGGGCTCCAGCTTACTGCTCAAGTCCCTCAGCCGTGCTGCTTTCTCAAACTCGTCAACGTGGGTATTTACTTGTGAGATGGTGTTTTTCAGCAGTTCCAGACCTTGTACAAGGTTCCTATGCTCCTCTGAGTCAACTTGAGATGTTGAATAACATTTAAAAAAAACCTTACTGACCCCAAACTTTTAAACATTAAGTGTAACTTTTTTGGAGTTACATTTACATAAACTATATAGTTTATACTATATATAAACTATAAAAACTCAAAACAAAACATATTGTTTTCTTGAAAGAAAAATAAAACTACTTAATTTAAAAACCGTACCTGTAGTGTATTTAATGACACGTTCAAACAAAACTGGATACTTTGTGATACGCTGTGTTATAAGGAGAATAATCTCTGGTATTCCTAATCTCCGCAAGATAGACATCTGACATACTTTCTGAGGACAGAAAATGGTGTTGTTATCAGAAAGTGAAATTATTAATTGAATATTATTTATTAAAAAAAAGAATATTATAAAACAATTTCAAGAAGTTCTTTTAAAACTTGACAACAAAAGGTCAGATCTTACTCGTATAAAACTCTGGAACTTCTTGTTGTTTTGCATCAAGTCTTTGTAGAAGCTGACTGCATCGGTGTGGTGACTGCAGAACACTCCATAGCAGTATTGCAGTCTGTCTCTTATTTCACCTGAAAACTACACACACAATCATACATGCAGAACAGAGAGTAGTACCATTGTTAAAAGCAAAAGATTTTTATAACAACGCCAAAGGTTAATAAATAAATATTCAGGATATTTACACACCAAAACTTTTAAAATCAGTAACGAACACTGCTTCATTTACTCATACATTACCATTGAAATGTTTGGTGTCAGATTTTTTTCAATGTTTTTGAAAGAAGTCTCTTATGCTCAGCATATGCTATATTTATTTTATCAAAAATATAATAATATTGTAAAACATTATAACGTTTCTATTTTAATATATTTTAAAATTGATGAATACTGATGAATTTTCAGCTGCCATTGCTCCAGTCTTAGGTGTTACACAGTTGTTCTAGCAATGTGGTTCATTATATTTACTACGAACATACTCCACCAAAAAAAATAAAAAAATTCTCAAGGTAAAGCCTAACAAAAAATGTTTTAGTAAAATGCTTGAATACTTTGATAATTTGTTATATAATGCAATGACATTAATACATTAAGTACAGCTTGAGTATCCAAATACTTTTTGGGGCCATTGTATGGCAACCTAATTTAATTTTGAAACAATAATTCCATTCATTTCAGGAAGCACCTGCTGCTTAGCTCAGCTCTGGGGAATGTGGACTCAAAGATCATATGAAGGACAACAGCTATAACTGACAGTTTGGTGATCCAAAGCATGCAGCTTGAGAAATCAAAGTCTAATCCAGATCAGTAATTGGTCTTTGTTGTATAACTAGCTATTGATCCTCAAGCCTTTAAGGCATATACATCTGGAATATTGGGAATCCTACAGTAGATATATAATAAAGATACCTGTGCCATAAGAATGTCTCCAATTCTGTGGATGCAGTAATTCTGGGTACTGCCTGGCTCCAAGGAATCGATTCTTCGCTGTTTAAGGTGGTTGAGGAAAAGCTGGTGTACCTGCAGCAGGCTATACACCTGTGGAAATAGTCTTTCCAGCTGTGTCTCATCCATTTGCAGGGTCTCACGCAGTTCCCGCACGTATACGCCCAAAACCAGCTTTAGCATCCGCACATGGTTTATTTCTGTCTGAATCAGCTCTGTCATGATAATGATAACACACTTTTAAAAGATCACGTACACTGCAAATTATTAACTTTTCTATGACAATGAGACAAAAAAGACGTAACAAAAACATGTACCATGTATTACATCCTGTCTTTTAATGTCCTCTTTGGACAAGTCTTTTAAATATTGCTGGTCAACAGCTAAACTCCAGGTGGGAGCCTCAAAGTCCCGAGCATCTGCTTCCAAATCTTCACGTAGCGCATTATAAAGTCCATCTGTGTAGAAGAGGAGTAAATATATATTTCCCTTAACATCAACAAACAAATCTGTGATCGTGACACGTTTAAATCACATTTAAACACACTACAGTAGCTAAACAAGTTAAATATCCAACCATCAATACTGATGGTGTCAGCAGAGTATGTCAACTGGAAATTTGAATCTTCTGCCAAGGGCTTGAATCTCACAGAATCTATTTCTTCCATCTTATGTTCTGAAAAACAAAATGACAGCCAGAAGGCTATTAAAATGGGCAAGAAAAACTGTTGGAAAACTCTAAATAAACTAGCAAACAAAGGTGAAGGTGAAACATCTCATTTCTGTGCCACCAAACAGAATCATAAAAATAAATAAATAATAATCATTCTAATATGCTGATTTGGTGCCAAATTTGCGCTGCTTAATATTTTTGTGGAAACAGTGATACATTTTTTCATGATTCTTTGATGAATAGAAAGTTCAAAAGGACAGCACTTATTTGAAACAAAAATCTTTTGTAACATTATTAATATCTTTACCGTAACTTTTGATCAATTTAATGTGCCCTTGCTGAATAAAAATAATTTCTTTCCACAAAAAAACAAACAAACAAAAACTTAATGACCCTAAAACTTATGAACAGTGTAAACATCAGTTGAGCAAATGTTGCTGTTTCACGAGAAAAATAATTTTAAAGCAGATATACTGTTAATACAGTTCCTGCCCAGAATGCCAGAGCACTGACCTGTGGCTGGAGTGATAACCAGAGGAGGTGAAAGGCTGGAGGATGCAGATTTATCTGTGCGGTAAGAGGGTCATGCCTGGTATGTCATGGAGCAGATAGGCCTACAGCCAAAGGAAGGAGGAATAATCTCTGTCTGAGCAAAGGAGCAGAAAGTCAGCTTTGGGTTTTTGGATCTGCTACTTAAAAAAACATTCAGATCAAATGCAAATTCCTTAAAATATTTTGTGCCTCACAGGACCACGGTGCTACATAAATACAGACACACAACAATGGACTGTAAATATACTATATATAAATAATTACCTATACAAACTGGAGAGTACAAACTGTACAAATGCTTCACATAAATACTTTACATACTTTACAATTAATCTAATATATTAGTTTAAGTGTGGCATGCATGAGGACACAAATGTCATTAAAACTGATTTTTAAAAAAACAAACTCTGAGACCGTTATTCATTATACAAGACATTAGTGCTTTAAATAGATCCATATTTACAACATTAGACCTAAGTAAGTTCAAGCCTAGTTCCGCAGATTTTGCCTTTATATCTATGATGGCCTATTAAAGGTCGTATGTGACTATGGCTGTGCAGGTGAAGGTGACAGAAGTGTGTTTGACATGAACACTTCTGGTGAACATATGACATGATCTGCTTTGATTTGTCTTCAGCACACGCGCATGCTGCAGTGGAGAACTGATCAAAGGAATGCATGAACATTATATGACAAACTGATATAATGTAATAAAATATAGATCTTGAATACAATATAAGCCATTTTAGATAAAAGTATCCGCCAAATGCAGTGCATCAATAGCATGCTAGTAGACACAGACAAAAGAAATAAAGGGGTGGTGCTACTGTACTAGTCCAGTTCACTGCTTGGAAATCAGGATATTGAAACTAATCTGGTTCTCTGAAACGGCAAACTGGTTTTGGTTTGTCAGATTCCTACACTCTTGTCAGACAAGGTCAAAGAGTAAAAGACACATGACTTTGCAGAAAACAAGATTTATTTTTCCCCCTTTTGCATGGATATTTATTTTTAAACTGGTTTAGAGGGATTCAGAGGGAAGTAAAAATGCAGATGTGTAGATAAATAATCAAAGTTGCCTTATCTGAGATATGAAATGTTTCTTACTGTTTCCAGTATGCAAGGCATAAACTAAGCACACAAACCCACCAGCCAAATGTACACATAGGAGTATTATTATATAATTGTATATACTTATAATTACACTACAAAAGTTTGGTGACAGTAATTCATTTTTTTATCAATTTCAAAGAAATGCCGTTCTTTCTGTTTATCAAAGGATTCTGAAAAAAATTATCACTGTTTCCACATAAATATTTATGTTTCAACATTCATAATAATAAAAAATGTTTCTTGAGCACCAATCAGCATATTAGAATGATTTGATCAGACTGAAGACTGGAGTAATGTCTGCAGAAAATTCAGCTTTGCCATCACATAGTATTTATAATAGTATTTCGCTATATTAGTTTTATAGTATTTTTGTATTGTATGTTTATTATATCAAATATATGCCTTGGCGAGCATAAAGGACTTTCAAGAAAACATTAAAAAAAAATTTTTACTGACCCCAAACTTTTGAATGGCAGTGCTTACAGTATATGGTTACAATGTCACTATTTTAATCACCTTCAAGTAGTTTTGCAGTCCACCTCAGAAACAGTTCTGAAGACTTTTTCAAATGTTCAAAAATCCCATGTAGTCTTTTAAAGGATTAGTTAACTTCCAGAATAAAAATGTCCTGATAATTTACTCACCCCATGTCATCCAAGATGTTCATGTCTTTCTTTTTCAGTCACAAAGAAATTAAGGTTTTTTGAGGAAAATATTCCAGGATTTTTCTCCATATAATGACAATTATACATAAAATATATAATAACAATAAAAATGTATATACTTTTTAACCAACGTTGTTTATATACTTTGTAAACAACGTCTTGCATTAGCTCGACATCACGCATAACGTAGTCATGTTGAAAAGGTCACGCATAGGGTTGCAAAGGGGTGGAACATTTCCGGAAACTTTCCATGGGAACTTCGTCTGGGGACTTTTGGAAATATTCCAAGTTTGAAACTTACCAGGAATGTATGGGAATTTACGGGAATTCATTTATTGAAAATTTGAGGAAATTTATAAAACTATCATATACAAACATTTAGTTTGATCATAGGCTCACATGCATGCAAACTTATACAAATAAAAAAAAAAGACATTTTGGGATTTTTGGGGGGGAAATCAGGATTTATTGATGAATGAAAACTTGTGAACAGTGTTTATTCAAAATAGAAATCTTTTCTAACAATATAAGTCTTTACTATTACTTTTTATTAATTAACACATCCTTGTTGAATAAAAGTATTAATTTATTTCAAAAAAAGAGAAAAGATACTGACCCCAAACTTTTGAATGGTAGTGTATTGTTAAAAAAGGATTTCTATTTTAAAAACGCTGTTCTTTTTTTAACTCTTTATTCATCAAAGAATCCTGAAATAAGAATCACTTATAATAAAAAAAAATAATTAAACAGCACAACAAAGTTTCCCAAATTGATTATAAATCAGCAAATTATGATTTCTGAAGAATCACGTGACACTGAAGACTGGAGTAATGATGTTCAAAATTCAGCTTTGCATCACAGAAAAACATTATATTTTAAAGTATATAAAAACCCGAAAAACATTATTTTAAATTGTAATACCAGTAATACTGCACAATATTACAGTTTTGTTCTGTATTTTTGATCAAATAAATGAAGGCTTAATGAGCAAAAGATATGCAATGTTTAAAACATTAAAATAGAAATGTTGGGAGGATCATTTTTAGACTTCTGTTTTATTATCTCACCTAAATGTTTGCTCCAGTCTATGGTTTGTTCAGTTAGTGTATTTGTTTTTACAATGGTATAGTATTGTATAGTATTTAGTTGCACAGTATATTACACACAGCACAAGGAAGTAAAACATTTTTTTTGTAATATTCATGTAATTTACATGAATACTTACCAAGATGGACATTTTGATATTTTGTGTGCAGGATTTAAGAAATGATCTGTTCATGTTTTATGGAGGAAAGCACAGTGCATGTAGGGGGTGTGGCCTCAACAGTCCTGCAGTAAGCAGCGTGCTGTGTGCATGTGATTGAGCAGTGTGTAGGGTAGAAATTAGGGCTGCACAATAAATCGCATGCGATATTTAACGCGCATCTTGTCAGTAAAGCCATTCTGTAATCAGCGGTAAATCTCCATCACGTGCGGGCTTTCACATTGAGCAGCATTAACTACACAGAGCCGTTGTTCACTGACTAGCTGCGCAAAACATGCGCAAAATATGATCGTGGTTTTGTGCAGCTTGTCAGTGAACAACGGCTCTGTGTAGTTAGTGCTGCTCAATGTGAAAGCACGCAGGTGATGGAGATTTACCGCTGATTAAAGAACCGGCTTTACTTACAAGATGCGCGTTAAATATCTAATGCGATTGATCGTGCAGCCCTAGCAGAAATTAAACTGAAATTGCATTAAATCAGGTTGTTTTAACCAAGATTATGCTGCAAGATTTTTTCTCAACTACATTTAAGTCCCCAGTTCCTGCAATTTTGCAAATTTCCAGTTTATTCCCATTAATTCCCATAGATTCCCGTTAATTCACATGGAAAGTTTCCAGTCTTGAAAATTCCCGGAATTTTGCAACCCTAGTCACACATAGGCAGAAATAGCGACCCAGTGTTTACAAAGCGAACGGGCAAAGAAAGTCAAACGCCCTTTACAAAAAAAAAGACATGAACATCTTGGATGATCTGGGGCGAGTAAACTATCAGGAAATTTTTATTCTGGAAGTGAACTAATCCTTTAATACAAGGTCATAAAAATGGCAAGAATAATTATAAAAGAATTAGAAAACTGCTGTTTGAAGTAGTTTTAGATGAACACACTGCAGGACACTGTGATGTGACTCATGTCAACTGCCCAAAGGCTTCATTCTGAAAATAGCCAAGAGAAGACAAGACAATTCACAGGAAATCCAGAGAAACATGTTGACAAATGTACAACACACTATGATATATATATATATATATATATATACACACACCATATGTTGTGTCCTAACAAAACACTAAACTTTGACTGAATGACAAAAAGAAGTGTGAGAGACATTCTTCAAATATATTCTTTTGTGTCCCACATAAGAAGGAAAGTCATACAGGTTTGAAACGACATGAGGGAGAGTAAATGATAACAGAATTTACAATTTTATGTGAACTACCCTATAATTGTAGTTGTCATATTAATAGGAAAAATTGTTTTAACAACAAGGAAAAAAATCATTTATATTTAATACACTTGAGATGACTACAGTTATAAAGAACTCAGCTGTTACAGTGACTCTAGCAACTGCTTTATCCTCAAGAAAGTCATGATACACCTTGTGAACAAACTAACAATGCTTAATAGCACTCAAACAATGTGCTCGCTTCAAACTATGTGTGCACTGCTATTCATAGAGTACACTCATTCATAAAGACTAGCATGTGTAAAGTGCATTAAGGCTAAATGAAAGAAGTAAACCAGAAGAGCAAACCTGGCCATAAACATGATTTGTGCTCCATTATAAGGTGGAGGATATTGACTAGGATGCACATTTTGTACTCAAATCCAGCTGCACCTTGATGAATGGTAGTTAAAGGCACTGACTTGCCACTTCAAATTGCTGGGAGACCAAGTAGTATGGTTGCATGGGCTGAGTCCCACTTAAATAACACTCAGCAGGTATGTAATGGCGTTTTCCTGCAGGTGGTTTCATTACTGGTCCGTTCACACTGCATGACAACTTCTGCTGCAGGCTGCACCTCCCTTGAATCATCTGCTGGATGAAGATGAATATAGCCAATCGAAATGCGGCTAAGGTTTATGCTTATCAGTCAAACGAGAAAAGCAGGCTGCCCCAGTCTGGGTAAAATAACAAACGCCCTCCTTCCTTTACACTGAGCATAAGACACATGAAATGTGACTCTTCTACCATCTTTGTTGTTCCTATAAACTAAAACCCCCAATTCTGAACTATAACACTAAATCGAGGGAGGGCATTGGTTACATTAATATTAACTGGGTTTGCACTGGTGTGATCATAGGATACAGCAGCTGCAAAATGTGAAAGGTTTTTAAACATTTAAATGCTGTAACTGATTTACTAGTCAAGTTACTGTGTGGAAAATGCCTGGCTTGCAAACCGCCTCTGACCATGAAGCCAACCTCCCCCCCTCACACATTAACAGGCCAGATCAAATACAGAAAGCCTCCCCGTTTCTCACCCCCCCCCCAAAAAAACAGATAAGCTAAAGATTACCCATAACCTTTAAAGACGCTGAACTTTAATGCTAGTCTAAGACAGGGTTTTGTGAGATTCCTGCTGAATTTGGTGAGCTCTTGATCAGAGTAAAGGGGCTGACATTACTAGAGGAATAATGGATGTATAAATTAGTAGCAGAAAGCTACATACCGAGTATGATTTTCATATTAGCATATTGAATTGAATGCTGAAGGCTTATTGCAAGCTTATTCCTTTAAACTAACAAGTACCTATTTTTGTGTTACTAGTACTTAATTTCTAATTTATTCCTTTTAATTATCAAGATTAGATATTATTAGATAACAGTATGTAATTCAATGATGGTTCATATTTTATATACAGTCACAATCACTTGTTCATGCCATCTAGTAGCACTTCTTTCTTCTACTATCCTAACAGTTATTAGTATCTATTCCTGATTTACAGTACAAGTACTTTTTTATGAGACACTAGTATCTAGCCCAATAGTTTCTAGCAATATTTCTTATCTCATTGGTTATTAAATTTATAAATAACCAAAGTCATACGATTAACAACATTTTTTTAAAAGACATTTAAAGTTAATACTAGACAAAGATTCCAAAATACACTCAGGTGCCACTTTTTAAAATACATCAGTTAAACACATCTCTGAATAAAATCATTGTCCATTTACAATAAAAACGGTGCAGTCAGTGAAATATGTTTAACAGTCATTGTAGTTGACTGTCATGAACTGCCTTTTTTATTATTTTATACTGTTCTCTGAGGTCCACTTATAATGATATTAAAAAAAAAAAGTACATCAAAAAACTTCATAATTTAGAAGTAATAGGCTATTTTCTGTCCTGTTTTGACCCCCTCATCTGAACGCTCTGTTTGAATAGGCATGGTGGATTGTAGACTGGGAAGTAAATGCCCACAGTATGATTGGCTAACAGCTGTGTATGTTTGAAAGCCTACATCCTTCACAGATGGATGGTGCTGTGATTTAGGTAAAAACGCATAAATACTCAGTATATATTTCAAACGATCTGTAATAACAGACAAAGCAATAGTGACCACATAATAAAACAGTTACTCACACTTGTGTGGTGCGACATTACTGTCAGATCCAATATATTCCACACAGCATCGTCTTTTAGTTTCAATCTTTCTGAAAATTCTGAGTTGAATTGTGCTTTGTTTGTAAAGAATCCACAGTAAAATTAAGTGAACAAAGGACCAAGTTCTTATTGACGTGGTCTGGAACTTCTTTATAAATAAAGTTCATCCACTCTTTACTAATGTTGAGATCAGAAGGAAAGCAATGCAAAGACTGTGTTTTTCCATAACCTGCACTGTTATACATTTCTGTAATTTCTACAGTTATTTACTGTATATCACCCAGTATAATACTGTAAATTTGCTCTACAGTAAATAACTGTAATACCCTTTGCATCATGGGAATTTTCTGTGACATCAAACCCCACATACAGTGAATTACTGTATTTTTATAAATGGCTTTATACTACTGTATTTACCGTAACGGCCTCTTTGGCGCCATTCTATTGAGGCTGCTTTATTTTCCTAATTTCTCACATTTGGATTGACAAGATTTGACTTCCACCGTGTCTACAACGCCGCAACAGCTTGGGACTGACTACACTGGATGTTACATCGCTTGTAATGATTGGAAAATCCGTTTGTCCTTCGTGCCAGAAATGGCACGAGCGCTTGGAGTACATCTGTACGGCATCACTTTACTGTCCGCATCCACTGTAGTATAATGGGTTCTATATTGTCTTTTGTCGAGTCTCGCCGAGCCACTCATGTCTCGGCGAAAAATATATGTACGTTTGTCTGTGTGTTGGTGTCAACATTTTTGCACACCAGTTTAACCTAGTAACAGTTTAACCCAGTAACATTTACCATGTCAACATAGCGGTAACAAACTTTACTATGGTAAACTGTGCTGTCGTTTCAAATGAGTTTTGTCAGCTTATTGAATTACCGAATTAAAATTACTTTTAACGAGCAACACTTATCTTGTATTAACATTAAGTTAACTAATGTGAAATTTTGTTCAGGTGTTAGTAGTTAATGTTGGCCAGTAGCCTATTGAGAAAATTAAATCGTATGTTAGCTAGGTTAAACAAGTTTTATGGCTAGCTGCCTTTCTAGTTTTAGCATTTGTTTGTTATAGTTTTTAATGGAATTTAAGACTTACTGCATTTTTTGTATTTGTGTTTGAAGGCAACTGCAATGAAGCATCAAGAAAGACATGAGCAGGCCAGCCACCCTGAGACTGATAATTCATGGTAAGAGAACAACTATGGTTTTGAGAGATTTGTGTATTCTATATGGGGTTTGCCTTTTAAAAGTGTGCCATTTCTACTTGTTTTTCAGAGAGGACATTTCTGTCACTAACAAAGTGGATGGTGAGCAAAGGTGGTGGCCACGTTTTGGAGCAGCACCTGGGTTTTGCAGATGGCTATGTATTCTTTGGCTGCTTATCTTTTTTCCCCATTATGTTTCTGTTGCCTAAATATTCTTTGCTAGGATATATCCAGATGATACAACATAATGCACTGCAAAATGTCCTAAGTGAGGAAAAATGAAGATGCACTGTTCCAGCATTGGAAGACTGTATTTATAAGTGTTATACATGCAATGTTTTAAATAAAGAATTTGATATTTTGTAATTATTGTGTCTGTTTTAATTGAATGCCAGTAGTACCCATGTAGGGTAAAAATAAAATGAATTCTATATAAAAATGATCAAATCTAATGAAATATATTAAAATGAATTAATTACAGTAGTATACTGATTAATTACAGTTTTCTAGTGTAAACCAAATACAGTTTGCTACTGTTAATCTTAATTACAGTAACGTACTGGCAACAGTGTTGCCAGAAAGTTACTGTAAAAACCCTTTGAAATGTCTAACAGTGTGGCACTGCACAGCGTCTTGTTTTTAGAGCCATCTTAGACCTGTGTTTGCCTCTCTCGTTATTTACACTACATGCTTGAATCGATTGAAAACTCTGATTTAGCCACACAATGATGTCATAAAGTGGCACATTCCACAACCTGTTGTTTTGGCAGATTGACATCAATATAAGCTGTTTTTAGACTAAAGAGAAAGTTTTGAGTTCTGATAGTTACAGGATGTTTTTATAGTACAATGACCTCTTATATGTCAAAAGATCAAGGGAATTTTGATTTCTCAGTTCATGACCCCATGATGGTGGTGGTTCATCTCATTTTATATATATAATAAATAATATCCCCAATTCTGACTAGGACTCCTGACTAAGACAAAGCTAAATAGAATAAAATATATACATATATATTCTATATTTACCTTTGTCTTAGAGTCCTAGTCAGAATTGGGGTTATTATAGTTACCTAAAACTTAAAAAAACATGTTACTTGAAATAAAATAAAAAATATATATAAAAAACATTTTATTTCAGCTTGTCAAAAGATCAAGGGAATTTTGATTTCTCAGTTCATGACCCCATGATGGTGGTTCATCTCATTTATATATATATATATATATATATATAAAATAAATAATATCCCCAATTCTGACTAGGCCTCCTGACTAAGACAAAGGTA